TATATATATAATCTGATATTGTTGTGATGCCCATGACGGAAGGCGGGCTAATGAGAGAGGGTCAGGCAAGACTGGCAGGCTTCTAGGCTGGTAAGCTTCTAAAGAATGGATACATATGTCACCTTAGACGAATATCATATTAGAATGGGAGAGAAAAGTGGAGAGCTTTATTAGGCTTGACACAAGTTCACAAGGTACGCGCGCTTTTGGGGCTCGAGGTGGCGTAGCCCGAAAGACAAATCTTTGCGAGCCTAGGCCCAAAGCGGATAATACGTGCCATGCGCTTGGATCGTGACAAATATGGTATTAGAGCCTGACTCTCCCAAGTACGATAGTGGGGCATACCTCAGCGAGGACGCTGAGTCCCAAGGGGGTGAATGTGATGCACATGACGGAGGGCATGTAACGACCCGACCGATCATTTTTGAGCTCTAGCGCTTCGTTCGGTAGTTTGAGGCCTTAAGTAGCTTCATTTCAAGTATCATGACTTGTACGTGTGGTCGGAATTGAATTTCGGGAAGTTCGGAGTTGATTTGGAAGAAAATTCTAATTTCGGAAGCTTTAAGTTGGAAGAGTTCACCAAAGTTTGACTTTTGAGAAGACGACCTCGGAATCAGGATTTGAAGGTTCCAACAGGTTCGCATGATGATTTCGAACTTGAGCGTAAGTTCGGATTGATTATCGGGTCGCCCAGGAGCATTTTGGTGCCTATTATGAAAAGTTGGCATTTTGGATGAATTTCATAAGTTTGGGTTGAATTAGATTTTGATGATATCGATGTCCGTTTGGGATTATGAGCCTGGAAATAACTCCATATGATGATTTTGGTCTAAGGAGCGCGTCCGGACGTCGATTTGGAAGTCCGTAGGTCGTTTCGGCATTAGTTGGCGAAGTTGAGAAGTGGAAGATTTTGGAAAGTTTGACCGGGAGTGGACTTTTTGATATCGGGGTCGAATCTTAATTCCGAAAGTTGAAATAGGTCTGTAATGTCATTTAGGACTTGTGTGCAAAATTTGAAGTCATTCCGGATTGATTTGATATGTTTCGGCACAAGATATAGAATTTGGAAATTTATAAGTTTGATTCGAGGCGCGATTCATGATATTGATGTTGTTTTACGTGGTTTGAGGCTTCGACTAAGTTCGAATTGTATTTTGGAACGTGTTGGTATAATTGGTTAAGGTCCCGAGGGCCTCGGGTGGATTTTGGATGGTTAACGGATCGATTTTTGGACTTAAGGA